TCCAAAATGGCCAAAAATGGTCGATTTTTGATCAAAATGCATGGCCTATAGCCCACCAAAATGGCCAAAAATGGTCGATTTTTGATCAAAATGCATGGCCTATAGCCCACCAAAATGGCCAAAAATGGTCGATTTTTGATCAAAATGCATGGCCTATAGCCAACCAAAATGGCCAAAAATGGTCGATTTTTGATCAAAATGCATGGCCTATAACCCACCAAAATGGCCAAAAATGGTCGATTTTTGATCAAAATGCATGGCCTTTAGCCTACCAAAATGGCCAAAAATGGTCGATTTTTGATCAAAATGCATGGCCTATAGCCCACCAAAATGGCCAAAAATGGTCGATTTTTGATCAAAATGCATGGCCTATAGCCCACCAAAATGGCCAAAAATGGTCGATTTTTGATCAAAATGCATGGCCTATAACCCACCAAAATGGCCAAAAATGGTCGATTTTTGATCAAAATGCATGGCCTTTAGCCCACCAAAATGGCCAAAAATGGTCGATTTTTGATCAAAATGCATGGCCTATAGCCCACCAAAATGGCCAAAAATGGTCGATTTTTGATCAAAATGCATGGCCTATAGCCCACCAAAATGGCCAAAAATGGTCGATTTTTGATCAAAATGCATGGGCTATAGCCCACCAAAATGGCCAAAAATGGTCGATTTTTGATCAAAATGCATGGGCTATAGCCCACCAAAATGGCCAAAAATGGTCGATTTTTCATCAAAATGCATGGGCTATAGCCCACGAAAATGGCCAAAAATGGTCGAGTTTTGATCAAAATGCATGGCCTATAGCCCACCAAAATGGCCAAAAACGGTCGATTTTTTATGAAAACTCATGGAATATAGCACACCAAAATGGCCAAAAATCATCACAAAATAATGACTTTTGATGGACTCCTATGAAAAGTACTCAGAAACAGCCCCAAATCGTGATTTTTGATCTACTATAGCCCGTGAAAAGTTCTGAAAAAAGCCCCAAAGTCGTGATTTTTTATGGGCTAATGGGCTATAGCCCATGAAAAGTACTCACAAAATACTTCAAAATCGTGATTTTTCATGGACCATAACCCATGCAAAATGATCAAAAATACCCCCAAATCGCGATTTTTCATGGACTATAGCTAATGTAAAGTGCTAAAAATATCTTTAAAAAAGAAAGTCGTATTCAATTTCTTAAAAATTTATTATCCAAATATGTCTTGAACTGTTTGGGTCTACCATATAGGTGTTTGTAAGTTAGTTACTGTAAGCAGATTCTGGCGTAAGGTGAAACGGAATTGATTGAAAAAAGAAGTAATGCTGATAATAATGAAAATAATAAAGTCATTTGCATCTATTTTAGGCTTTTAGCTTCGTCTGTTCGCATATCTGAAAAAAAAAGAATGAATTAATGTAAAGATTTTCCATATATGAAAAATTCAAGACACGACCGCATTGAATGCTGGCTCTTTTACATTGTTTAATTTKCTACTCACCATTRSAATTCACAATCATTTATCACTGGRTTTTGGGTTGGTATCCTGCACAGGGTAGCTTTCCAAACAGTCAGTTTTTGATTCCTGGAATGCAGTGTTATTTTTCTCTTCCTGGACAGGAGTGCCAGCATCCCCTTCCTGGACAGATGTACTATGGTGATCRACATTACCACCTTCATGGGTAGTATCAGCTGTGCTGGTGTCTTCCTGGACAGGATTATTAACTGGACAGTTGGTACCCTGTTGTGGAAGTCGATTATTAACACCATCATCTACTCTTTCTAAAAAATTCTCTGTCCCTTCAATGTGCCTTTCTGATGGACTCTCAGAAGACTGTTGTTCTGGATCGTAAAAAGAGCKTTCTCGTGGCTCCAAATCATGAGGGAGGTCTCTCTCTGGTGCTGGGGGAACATCCGATTTTCTTGTCTCCTCCGTAGATGTCATCTCATCACCAAGGACTTTTGATGTCTCTTCCATAGATGTTCGCTCATTGCAGCCTGGAGTATCAACCTTGTTGGTTTCCTCTACGGGAGAAGCTTCTGGTTGTATGCCTGTCGCTGATGCATTGGAAGGAGGACTTCGCTGTTCTCGTGGCTTATCTGGATGGCATGGATCACCTGATAAGGAGATGTGGAAACAGTAAGGTACAACGGTATAGACCATATGGAAAAGGGTGTGGTTATCATAACGCTTTAGTTTATAAGATTTTTATTCTATCATTGCTACCCGTTGAAAYTAAAGAAGACATTACAATGAATAAGATCTGAAAGGACCGGAAATTACACGCGTTCAGTTGCAAAGGTTTGAGTGAAAATCAGTATGGACGCCTGACCAGCCCTCGTTTTCATGTTTTTATTACATTTTAAATGCTCGTAACTCTGCTGATATTCAACATTCGAAACTAAAACTCCGCCAAATAAATTTACCAGTTAAGATATACTTCTTTTTGCGGCGATAACAGATGTTTAAAAATAWGGACCGTTTAATGTGCTCATTCCCAGTATTCTGCTCGTTTTTCATATGGTCAATAGTGGTCCAACGTTTGTCGGACTGAAGTTTGAAAAGCTGCTGACGTTAGAAATATTACCCCGGATCCCCAGTCAATAGTGTCCTTTGATGGGACTCTTATATGACCAAGCATTCAACACTGGAAAAAATCGCGCGCTATAAAGGTTGTAAATTTGATGTATATATGATGTAAGTGTCCAAAATGATGTAAATTTGATGTAAATGATTTCCATCAAATTTACATCATTTTGGACACTTACATTATATTTCCATCAAATTTACAACCTTTATGGTGCGCGATTTTTTCCAGTGCAACATTGACCAGGGTGGAAGTGTGCTGTTACAACTACTATTGTCATCAATGTCGTACAACGTCGGTCGTACATTCTTTTAGTTCACCGACATATTCCCTGGAAAATAGCCACATAGACATATAATATGGAATCGTTCTACTAACCTTCACTAATAGTTGTCGTTGTATTCTGGTTACCAATTTGGACTACGTTAACGGGGCAATGGAAGTAAACATTTGATGTGCCGCAAGTTACTATAAATCGAGAAAAAAATTAAACTTGCTGAAATGACTTCAGATTGACAACTAACAAGTATCAGACACTTCTTGTATGACTGTAGTACAAAAGTCATAACTTTTGACATAACTTACCATTACTACCATTCTGATCTGAGCTTGATAGCGACGGGTGGTTGCCTACTGGTCCGTCTGTCTGTGTGTCCTCACGTTGCTATCAAGAGATGTAATTAAGGAGTTATACATCAGTGAAATTTYCTTTTGTACCTTTCCTTACTTGCATACGTTTCACAAACAAAATGCACCATGTCACATCTTCACATATCAGAAACAGAAACTACAGGTTTGTCCTGATCGGTTTTACGTGACAAGGTCACGATTGTACGAWTGTGAGCCACGTTAGAGACTCATAGGAGAAAATGACAACAACAACAAAAAACAACAAAACGAAACAAAACGAAACAAAAAAAGCGAAGCAAAACGAAACGAAACAAAACGAAGCGAAACAAAAGCAAAGCGAAACAAAACAAAACAAAAAAGCAAAACGAAACAAAACTAAACTAAACAATACAAAAAAAAAACAAAAGCAAAACGAAACGAAACAATACGAAACAGACAAAACAAAACAAAACGAGAACAGGCCAAACCAATAAAAAATAAATAAACAAAAATGTCACAAAACAAAGTCAAACAGTTTGATAGCATATGACACAAAAAACAACAAGAAAAAACAACAAAAAGGAAAAATACAAAACACTATCGATATTACCGACATACACTGCAAGTATAAATTACCTGATTGGAAAAAGGAAAACTCTTTTCCAAATCTCCGACACAATKTTTCTTTTCCATCCAGTCTATCACTTTCTGTGACAAAAAAAATGATGATTATTATAATTCATGATAATAGTCATACAAATAATCGACGTTGCGATTAAGAATTAAAATGAAAATTAAAGCGGTGCATAGTTGCTATCGTTACGTCGAATGTCTTTGCGATTTTTTTGACTCAATAAATGGTCACTAATCCAGTCATCATTGTAAATATTACTTAACATCTTATCTTAAGCATCATCTTGACGGATAAAAAGACGAAAACAACAACAACAAACAAACAAAAACGACACAAAAACAAAAAGGTTTTGTCAGCCATTTTGGTAAAAGGTCTATTTTCTCCAGAGGTGGATCCCTGATTTATTCAGGGAGGGTTGTCAGTCAGCCAAGAAGGGGACTCACTTCACGAAGAAGAATCGAATTATAGAAAGTATTTCATTACTTAAAAAGCTGGATTTACCTCTGCATTTAGATCATTCATTGAACCAAATTATTTTTCACTATTACCTTCCATCCTCTGTTTGATCTCCTCTTCAAGAGGTTTTTATTTCCAAACAAATAGAGTCCACAACGAGCTCTAGAAACAGCTACACATATACGATTCATTGATGCTAAATAACCGATTTTGGCATCTTTTCCTTCACCGCTGCGAACCAGAGACAAWATGATGATTTCTTTTTCCTTTCCCTAAAAAGGTTACACATTTTCATKCAGTTACTGTAATATTTCTATTAATAGAGGGTGGTCGTTTAAAAGGGTTTGGTCGTTTAATAGAGGTTAAATAATGGGCGATTAGCCGTAATGGAACTTCTTATTTTGGTCATGTAATTGAGGTTGACCGCTTAATAAAGGGTTCCTTTGGAACCCCGAGTAATGACCTTTCGTTTGTGAATAACCGCCATATTGGTATGAATAATTCACCATATCACACTCATCCTTGACCAATATTTGTTCATATCAAGTAAATCGTATGAACAAATACATGTATATGGTGCACAAAAACAAAGAGAAACAACGTCAAACCAACCTGGAAAGAGTCAATGGTTGTCACATGAATTTCCTGGACAGAGCTAAAGCCTTCCTTGCCCAGTATAGATTTGATGTACTTCACCTAAAAGTGTATCAAAGAACAGTAACCTTTAATTGTAAGGTTTTCACCATTAAATATTGAAGGCCCTAGCCTTCTTATAGTCTCCTTCACGGTTCCCTGCGGCCGTGCCTTTGCATTGAATCGAGACAACCGTTGAACGTGCAATGATAGATACCTGTGAATAATAGTCTGTAGTTGTGAAAGAAGGTTTCTATCATTGCACGCTCAACAGTTATCTCGCTTTGATGCAAAGGCACGGTTACCTTTCAAGATGGCGTAGGGAACCGTGAAGACGACTATTACAAGCTTCTTTGCAGTGTATACTCTGCGTTCTGATTGGTTGCCGCGCGATGTCCCGGCATGCAATTGTTGGGATCCACGTTTCCGGTAAATGAATACTATAACTACTACTACTTTATCATAGCCTCTTCCACAGTCACCACTAAGAGTTACGGGCTTCCTGTCTTTTTTCCTCTCTCGTCACTAGTCCCTAGCGGTCAAGATGACCGTTACAAAGGAGGCCCAAAGGAGGAAAAGAGAGTTGCCTGGGGAGGACGGTAACTCTAATACAAGCGTGGGGTAAGTCTTGAAAAGCGTTAGTTTTTACCATGTCATAATGATGAATAAAATATATCAATCAGTGAAAACGTTGAATTATTTCAACGCAGGATCCCCACGAATGAGAAAATGATAAAGAATAATATTTTAATATTATTTATTATTATTATTACTATTATTATTTATTTATTACTATTTATTATTATTTTAATATTATTTTAATATTAATATTTAAAAAAAAGAAAAAGAAAGAAAGAAAAAACAAACCTGGGCAAGATAAGAGCAGAGAATTGTAATCTTCGATGGCTTAATGTTGCATGAATCACACAAATGCTTGGCAAACTGGGCAACTTTTTTGGCTTCATACTCGTTACACTTGCTGTGTGTGCCATCTCCATCCCTTTCCGGTTTGGTGTGTGCGTAAAAGAACATAGATCCAGTCGTCAAAGATGGCGGAAGCTTCCAATTACTTTCAACAACCTTTTGAGACAAAATAACAAGATAGCATAGTGGTTCTCTGTCTTATGATGGGAATAATTTCAAATAAATGATAAATAAATAAATAATTGAATTAATTAATTAAATTATTAAATAAATAAATTATTAAATAAATAAATAAATAAATAAATAAATAAATAAATAAATAAATAAATAAATAAATAAATAAATAAATAAATAAATAAATAAATAAATAAATAAATAAATAAATAAATAAATAAATAAATAAATAAATAAATAAATAAATAAATAAATAAATAAATAAATAAATAAATAATTTTAAATAAATGAGGCGGATCGTAGAGGCATACTTGGTGTATGAATCCACTTTGTTCAAATTCACATTTTATAATAAAAACATATTTTACAACTGCAGCTTAAAGAATCATAACCAACCGCTGTACCTTGCGAGCCGAAACGCCAGTTTAGGTGGACACGAAAATGGTGGATTCGTAGCATTTCTTAAAGTGCGAATCGTCTTCCGTTCTTTCAGTTTGGACAGAAATACCATTAACTAAGTACCTCACAGGTACTATCAATCTATAATCTATTCTATGCTTGACGCATTTAAACATATGTAAACAATAATACGAGCGCGCAAGGTACGGCGGTTGGTTATGATTCTTTAATAACAAGAAAACAAACAATATAAAGCGCAGCATTGTTATAAACCACATCTTAAACCCTTATACCAAGCAGTAATACAGATCTCATCATAAAGATTTTGTTATCCAAAATCCAACCCTGGGCCGCGTTGTTCAAAGCTCGCTTGTGCTAACCTTAGGTTAACTCTAATCCTGGATTTACATTAATCGAGCTTTGAACAACCCGGTCCTGAGTAATAATAAAGTTGGGCTGTAGTAATTATACAGTCGGGAATAATGCATCTCTGAGATTCGTTTTGAAAAAAAGAGGCATAGCCGAGTCATAATCTTGCTTTGAGATGGAGGCTTGATGGTCCACCATCTGCAATAAGTGCGGTCACATGAAATAATCAATTTTTGTTTGTTGAGGATCKAAATGTAATTTTAACCGGCCGTGAGAACAAAAATGACCCACTAGAATTTGTTAATTATTTAAAATGAAGATATTTYCATACCTCTTGCCTTGTTTCATAACGTTCATATATACCCAATCTCCTAACAACCTCGGCCAAGTCATCAGTCATTCTTCCCTGTTTGTTCAACTGTGTGTAATCCAATCCCCCTTTTATCAGCCTTTCAAACATGGATGTTTGGAGGTTGCAGTTACGGCCGAGCTTGTGATGGCTGACTTGAGGTTTGAGCTGTTCCTGGTCCCCAATCATGATCAAATGTTCGACAGAAGTGGGGATTATAGCGACAAGTTGAGGTTCAAGTATTTCAGCAGCCTCTTCGACAATCATCACTGAAGGYTTGATAGTTTCTAATGAGATGTTAAAGCAACTCTAGTTAGAAAAAAAACCCACAGGACCGTCTTTAAGTGAGATGAATTAAGTGCCCGCAAAAGCGAGTTTCAGTCGTTAAATGAATTATTTTCAGTTCGGTCAACTCCCACTATAACGGACACCGTAGGAGCGGTAATTTAGAGTTCGCATTATCGAGTGTTCGTTATAAAGGGAGTTACTTTCAGTACGTTGAACTCCTGCTATAACRGACACCTTCAGAGATATAATTAAGAGTCCGCATTATCGAGTGTCCGTTGTAAAGGCAGTTACTTTCAATACAGTCAAGTCTCGTTATACTGACGAACACCTTCGGAGCCGTAATTAAGTGTCCGCAATAGATASTGTACGTTGAAACGGGRGTGCCTTCAACTCTCTMKACTGAGTCTCCRTTGTGRAGGGAGTTATTTTCAGTAATATATTTGGAGTGGGGACTTTTGTTAAGTTTCCCAATAASGATGTAATACCTAACCAACTGGCTTTAATGGCTGCACCACTAACAGTCATGCCAATGACCCTTCGTTTCTTTAGAATATCAATCTTAAGGCGATCACTGAGCTCTTTCTTTGTCTTGCATTTCTAGAAAAACATTATTATAGAATCAAATCATTCAAATTATAGTGTACTACACTATTTTATTTTACATGAAAATTAAGGGTTCGTGCTTTATTTTCGCCAAAGGACTACTTTTTAAGGACATCTTTAAGCAAAAAAAAACAAAAAAAACAACACAACACATTTTCAAGGTCTTGTTTGTTGTTTTTGGAGGTTCTGGCGTTGATTCTTGAAAATCCGCTTTTTCAATGAATAAGTTTAAAATAATTATTGCAACAGACTCAAGGTGTATTCCACAGCCTTTTTGACGCTTTTTTATTTTTAAGGCTTTTCAAGTACCCTCGGAAACAAGCTTTAACTCATTTTCAAGGATTTCAATGGGTAGCACGAACCCTATAAAAATAGTTTAATATTTCGATTTTTTGGAGAGCAAATGTCTTTATTTAGAAATGGAAAACCCTATTGTATATAATATTTATAAAATTTTTGATATATAACGCGCTCTGATTGGCTGACGACCGTGTTTATATCAGAGGACAGAGACACGGCTTACCGGCAAAATTTGCTTTTCACTCGAAAGATTTTATAAAAGAAATATAAAACGGCCGCTTGTGTCTCTGTCTTCTGATATAAACACGGTGGGAATTGAAAAACACTCGAGAAGCAAGAGAAACTTGCTTGCTTCTCTCGTGTTTTTCGAACTCCCACCGTGTTTATATCAGAGGACAGAGACACGCGCGCCGTTTCATATTTCTTAAATATAAAAAATAAGCATTACAATTCCATCTTTACCTTTGTGAGCTCATTTGTGAGTGAGGTAAACTTCTCAGTGATTGTATTATTGTGTTGTCTTAGTAATGCAAAAACAAATTGGATTTTTTCTTGCTCATTAAGACTACAAAGATCTCCAGCATTCAAGATGGACTTGAGATTCCCAAGTTCTGAAAAACGACAATTGTAAAACGTTAAGCAGAGCGGAAACTAGCCTGAGTAGTTGCCCTGTTTAAGAAGAGAGGGCCTTCTTTACTCGTCCACAGGGATCCCAAGAGGGCCGCTACGCAGGCTGGTTGGAATCATAGAGAGAGATAGAGCGTAGTATTGGAGAATAGTCAGTGTGCAGCGACGCCATTTTGTGCAGAAAAGCATGATGTTACTAGTCCTTGTATTTATTCGAGACCCTAAAACTCTCCTAAAAATTCCCTAAAAATCTCCCTGGAAGGCATGTTTATATTTTCTTAGCAGAAACGGCACAAATACTTATATTTTTGCTCAATTAAAGCTGCTTAGAAGGACTGTTGAAGCGGACATAAAAAAGATGAAGATTACAACTACCATCATGCTTTGCTGTACGAAATGTCGTCACTGCACATTGCCCATTGACATTACTTTCATAGGGTATATCAGGTAATACCCAATCCTCATCATCATTTGATTGACAGGTGTCAAGCTGATTTCCCTGTTCATCAGTGCACTGTTGCTCTTCCTCATCAAAAGTACCAAGACGTTCCTTGTTGTCACTATTAGGATCTGTCTCGCCATTAGCTTCTCCTTCATCATCACTAGAACTGTCTTTAACCCTGAAAAAAGTTTTTCTTATTAGCTTTGCCCTATTTTGGTCTGGGACACCGGACCAGAATGAGCCAATCACTGCGGACCCTGTACTCTCACTCACTACCTCTACATGCATGTTGTTTTTTGCTGAAAGAGGAAAACCGGAGGACCCGGAGAAAAACCCTCGTGGCAAGGGAGAGAACAACACATCAAACAAACTCCAAATCACGTATGGTCCGTGCCTGGGAATCGAACCCGGACCACAGCGGTGAGAGGCCAGAAGCTTAACTACTAGGCCACCCGTGCCACCCTTTTTCAAACATTGTTTTATGGACCATCAGCAACTAAATACAATACATACTTAGTCTCAGAACTGCCTAGGTCAGAATATACAGTGCAAAGTTGGAGAAATATGTCTTTGGTAGGTAGCCATGCATTGAGTGGACCTTTTAACATCTCCAAAAGCTCTGACAACAAAAAGAAATAACTTAAGAATTTCGTTGTACACAGGCATATTATTATTAATACTTGTTGATTCTTCTGTGCAAAATTGATTTTTTTTTTAACCGAGCTCAAGCCGAAAGCTCGGTTAAAAAAATAAATCAATTTTGCACAGAAGAATCAACAAGTATTAATAGGAAATAACTTATTTTCATTTATTACAGATTATTAATAATTATTTAGCTTTAGAGTCTCCTGTTTCCAATACGATTTCACTGTAATTTTAAGCATGTTTCAGACTCTGCTTAGATCTGCACTTTCATTACTACATGCTAACACTTACCTTTGTAATGCTTTACCCTCCAAAGATCATTGCCATCCCTTGTCATTGAATCCAATTCATCCCCAATCAAAGATTTCAAATGCTTTAACTCAGCCTCCTGAAATATTATTTATATATAGATGATAATATTACATGGGCACATGGAGATACGGATTTTATCTTCGACTGTTGAAAAAATCTCTGACGAGTGAGCATAGTGGAAATATATGAAACAAGTTTTTTATTTCCCTGCTAGCAGAGGCTTACACGGTAAATTCTGTCACGTAAAAGTAACTTTTACGTGACAGAATTTACCGTGTAAGCCTCTGCTAACAGGGAAGTTTTTTTATAGATAATAAGTAGGCGATATCACACAGATTTTATCTTCAGGTGTTGAAAAGATCACTCATGAATGAGCGTTGCGAATCTCCATATCTCCAAGCAACCATGGAATATTCTGTTTATCATATAAATATACATGAATACTCATTGCAGTTCGTGGGAATGTTCTCAAGAGGGCAAAGATCTTTTGTTTAGTCCTCTGGATGAAACTGCTTTGATATCACATGCAAGGGGGCTATGTAGAGCCCATACCATGAATGTGTTATTCTCACTAGTGAATTAAAGTAACATGCAACATTTAGTTTTCAAAACTAGAGAAATATATTAATTACTACATAATAATTATCATTTCATGAATAATTACATGATAAACATTATTTTTCAAGAATGGTAGGAAGTTTACAATATCATTCATTTTTATGATACCTGAATGAAGRCATGTGCAATGTTGCTGTATTTGTTAGCACATCTCAGCTGTTTAACATAATACAGAATTTGCTGTTTCATAGAATCAAGTTGATTGCTAAGGTTCCTCTCTAGGTCAATGTGAATGCCTTTTCTWCTTCTGTCTCTGTTTTCTTTCAGAAGCTTAAGAAACAAAAAAACATAGAATTCTAGTAAGAATGTTATTAGTTTTAGACCATTTCACGTTTTTGCACCTGGTTCACATATTAAGCTGAACACAAATGCAAGCAACAAGTGCAATTATAACAGTTCAGAAAAGCCAGATGCATTGAAGAAACAATGAAAAAAGTTTCAATTTTTTCAATGCTTTTGCTTTTGCCTTGCTTGCATTGGTTGTGTAAAACARTCTTAAGCGTTTGCACCATATTATTAAGTAATGAGAAAAACTATTACCTGAAAAAGTTTGCACGAMTGCAGGTCTTCATTTTGGTCTTCACTTCCACCTCTTCCAACACGAACCAGCATTGATTTAAAATTGGGAATATTTGTAAGACAATCTTCC